CACTACACTACAGCTACAACTACAGCTGCGCTACACCACACTACATCCAGCAGTTGTGGGTGAGGTGACCGACCAGGTGACCACTGCAACCATTGCAGCCACTCCAAAAAAACACAGCTCCAACCACCTTTCGGTCCATCAGTGGATTCGCTCTGCCATCCGTGATTCACAACAACCAATCTCTCCTACAGGTTTCCTATTTTTGAAACTTCCGCCACCGCCTTGCGCGGTACTACTGGTACGACCTTGTTAGAATGACAACCGATCAAAGTTGATGCCTCCTTCTTGACTCTTTACATTTAGCATGTGAAAAAAATGGATAAATGGGGGTTTCGGGGCGTATATGTTTGTATGTTGCTTGTTATGATTTTGTGTTGGGGTTCAATGTTTCATCTTCGCCTTTGATGTTTTTTCAGGTGGGGTTTTGGGGGTAATTTTGTTGCTAAAGTGATGTGTCAATGTTTGGTTTGGATGAGGGGGATAATTGTTGAGGTTGTTGTGTTTTATGTTTATGTTTGGGGTTAGAGGATGGGATCGATGTGTCCTTCGTCCGCTCTGTGCTGAAAATGATCATCCGCGTTCAACGTCTTGTCGGGAGACCCAGTTTCAGAGAACAAGTGTTGCAAACAAATCTCCAGACATGTGAAGCCTTGCGAAGCAAGAGTCTGGAAAGGGTCAAAAGGTCCCTTAGCCTTGGGCATGCAATGTTTGTCACAGCTTTCTGGCTGAAGTATTGATGCCCTTTGTCCGCCCGCAGTCATTGGAACTCGTAGCAACTCCAACAATGATGTTGTCGTTCTATCGACTGGCCCGCGTTTGCCTTGTCGTTGTTTTGGTGCTGTGGAGCTCTTCGTGTTTTAGCTTGCCAGACGCAGCGCGTCCAGTGAGGACAGCTCGCCGTTGTCAACCCCCAGGTGACCCGCTCCTTCAAACTGTCAATGAGATTCCAGAGCCTGACAGGCGCTTGGTGGCATTCCAGCAACTGATGAAACTGGAGAAGGACTGGAGAAGGACGTTCTGGTTCTGGAGAAGGACAAGGAGTTGCTAATTTTTGAGAATCGCAAGTTCAACGAGGATATCATGCGAGCACAAGGACTGATGACCGCCCGACGCGTCTTTGAGCGGGTGGTCCAACTTGGATGGAACGAGCAGCTCGCAAAGCGCAAGGCCAAGGGCAAGTGCGTCATAGCGAATGCAGTGCCCGTTATCGCCCAGAACCAAAATGCCGGCCGCTGGTCGCAGACTCTCATCAAGGCCGCTCTGAAGTGTGTCGCCGGGCCGAAGCCTTCAGAAAAGACATTGCAGGACATGTGGACCGAACTCAGCTCCAGAGTCCACAATGATGCGTGGGCTGGCGATGTGAAAATTGAGGACAACTTGTCGAACTCAACTCAATGTATAGCTAGGGCTAGGGAACTTTGCACAGAAATGGGGTTGAGAGTCATGGAGTCATGGGGGAAGAGGAATAAGAAAGCATTGCGGGCGCCCACGAGGAACACTAATTGAAATCCGCCACTCGCCCCACTCGCCCCACTCGCCCTACTTGCCCTGGGCTAGCAAATTAATTGAAATCCGCCACTCGCCCCACTCGCCCCACTTGCCTTGGTAGGAAAATTAATTGACTTTGGCCACTCGCCCCACTCGCCCTACTCGACCCCACTCGCCCTACTCGCCCCACTCGCCCTACTCGCCCGACTCGCCCCACTCGCCCGACTCGCCCCACTCCCCCCACTCGACGCACTTGCTGCGGAGGTAAGCAGAGCAAGTGCAAGCTGGGCAAGCGGGGCAAACGGGGCAAGCGGGGCAAGCGGGGCAAGCGGGGCAAGCGGGGCAAGCGGGGCAAGTGGGGCAAGCGGGGCAAGCGTGGCAAGCGGGGCAAGGGGGCAAGCGGGGCACGCGATATACACTGACAGGCCCCATTTTGCGCAAATTGGAGCTCCCACCTGATAAACGATAATAGTCAAAATTACTTTCCTCGAGTGGCCCCGGTCAACTGGCATTCTAGTTGACATATATATACATATATATTATATATATATATATATTATATATATATTATATATATATTATATATATATATTATATATATATTGAGATTCTATCGGGCATTCTTTCTGGCATTCCATCTGCCATATATTTTGAGATTGTATCTGATTATTTTGATATTCTCTCTGGCATTCTATCTGATATTCTATCTGGCATTTTGTCTGAGATTTCATCTGACATACTGCCTGACATTCTACCTGGCATTTTTTATGGGAGTCTATGTGGCATACATTCTGACATCCTATCTGGCATTCTTGCGGGTCTGTGTTTCCAGATGCATGTTTCCCACTTGCAAACATTGGCTCTATCTGGTGGTGCCACTTGCCACTGTCAAGATTAGCGGCCCTTGGCTTACCTGTGCTCTCTGAGCCGGGCTGTCGATGGTATCTCGAGCATACAAAAGTACAATCACAAGGATGTATGTTATTTACCCGTACTTGGTTAGGCAGTGGGCCGTATGGAAATATAGAGATTTGGTACAGTGGTTCGAACCAAGCCAGTAAGTAGCGATGCAAAGTGTGCTGGTGTATATAATGTCTTGAGCTGTAAATTGCAGATTCTGTTTGTGATTGGGACATCTTGAAGTCAACAGCGAGATGTCAGGAACTAATCTCCAGGCGACAGGAATTCATCATTTGTACCGTTACCACGACTGCCCTATTTGGAGTCGTTTTTTTTTGCACTTTATCTTCACGCTCATGCCCGGGGCCGGGGTTGAATTTGGTGGAGTGATTGTGTCTTTGCGGGCAGGATCGGCATTGAGAGATAACGTGAACTTTAGAACCTTGATTTCGAATCTTGTTGCTTGTTTCAGATGTTTCCGAAAGATTTCGTCTTGAGTCATGTCAGCTTTAGACGCTGCGCACTTTTCGGCTCAAGAGAATCTCACAGAGACGGGTCAGTGAAATTGGCTCATTCCTGATAGCACGCATCCATCGCCGGACCAGCGCGCATCTTCATCAAGCTGTTGTGAAGTTGCCAACTTCTGGTAGTCGCCGGGCTACTGTGGAACTTTGCCAGCACTTGCTTCCACGGCCATGCATGGCTTGGGAATATACTTTTGATTAATGCTGGGGGCTTTAGCTGCTCCCCGATGATTTCAGATCAGCTGTCTCAAGGGCCAGGAAACGATTCAGCTTCGTTCGAAAAGCGCAGAAAAAGCCGGCTGGCTTGGTTGTGGTCTGTGTCATGCTGCATACTGCCATTACTTCAAAACCACTCACCTGATTTTCGATTTTTTCCCAGTTTTCCAGGTTCGCAGACCGCGCTGCAGCTGTACTGCACCATGGTGTCCTTGTTTGCGTCAAACACCTTCTCATCTCATTTTGTTTTTCTCGATTTTCCTGGTTCGCAGTCCTTGCAGCAGCTGTGCTGCATCATGGTTTCCTTGTTTGCATCAAAGTTGCAGTGCCATGTTGAATGTGCCTATTTGCAACTGTCGCTCCCGTTGTGCTCAAGTTGATCGCCTGAGCTACTGTTGTCCACCTGTGCTCTCCGAGCCGGGAAATTGACTTAAACAAATACATTCGCTGCATTGGCCGCCATGGAAACGCAAGACATAACTGCGGTACTGCCCAGTAGGGAAACAGCAGACTGTCACGCTAGCAGTATCAGCCAAGGTTCAGGAACTCAAAGAGATTTTGCAGCGATGATATGATTCCTGGACGCGCGAGGTGCGGTGTTGCGGGTCGATGATATGATTCCTTCGGCTGCAAGCGCACACTGCGTTACATGTGTCGCGCGTTTCCCTTGTCTCGCTTCAACCTGGAAAGCCTTTGCTCTGTGGTGTCACAATGACCGTGTAGTGATGGGGACATCCTGCCTACGGCTCCGACAGCTCTGGTGTGTGTGCAAGCGCCTGCGCAAAGTGGTGCAGATCGTTGCCAGCGGCCGCGCTTTTGCCGCAGTGACATCATACGGATCTGTTGTTACCTGGGGCTTGCCGAAGATGGTTGCTGACAGGGCAATGGTACGGCAGCAGCTCTATGATGTGAGAAGCGTGACTGCAGCTGCCCAGGGCGCATTTGCCGCCCTTCGTCATGATGGGTCTGTCGTCACCTGGGGTCCAAGCCAAATTGAAGGGAGTGACGCAGATTCACAGCACGCATACTGCATTCGCTGCCATTGTGTTGGATGGGTCCGTGGTTGCTTGGGGAGACCCCTAGTAATGGAGGAGACAGCTCGATGGTCCAAGACCGACTTCAAGGCATTGTGAATGTTCAGGGCAACCCTTATGCATTTGCAGCTGTCACGGAGGAAGGGTCGCTTGTCACCTGGGGAAAGGCCACCTTGGGGGGCGATAGTTCTGTGATACGAGAAAGTCCGGCAAGTCACACCCTCTTTGAAAGGGTTCTTTGCCAATGCTGACGGATGTCAAGTTCATACATGGGTCTGTCAAAGCGTTTGCAGCAGTGCGCTACAATGGATCCATTGTTACATGGGGAGCGCAGGACGGAGGCGGGGACAGCTCCGCAGTGCAATCTGTGTTTGCCACTTTCTAGTTGCAGTGGCCATTAATGTTGCTACTGCAGCTGCGGCAAAATTAGACATCTTCACAAACTTGGACATATGGTATAGACAAACAGGCCTGCGGAACAGCCTGCTATGGTGTAAAAATTTGCGATGGGAAGCTGGGCGCAATGGTAATCTAGTGGTCGAAATAGTCGGGACATCCTCTCAATCCCTCAGATGCACTGTCCGCTGCAGCTGCCCTGCATGCTCAGAGAACTTCATGCTTTTTAACTACAGTGTGGTGTAGCATTTGCTTGTTTGCGCCTATCTTCATCCGTTGGGCTCAAATTTAGGCACCTGCGCCAGTATTGTCAACCTGTGCTCTCCGAGCCGGGCGATTGACGTAGACATCGTGACATTGAGCTGATATGTAGATGTACGTGTTCATGCTGTGAACAAGATCATCATTGTCATTTACAACCTTGTAGCTCTCCTTTGAAGCCATGGCCGACGAAGCGCAAGCGACTCGGCGAGCCTTCACCATTCAGGGGCCGCAGGTTGCCTTAGCTATGCTGCGAGGTTCCAAACGCATAGAATCTCGGAAGAGGCGGATGGCAGCTGGCTGGTACTATTTTCACGTGGGCCGTTAGTCAATCAACAGCTTGCCCCCCGAATGTTCGGCCGCCTTGCGCCAGACATGGCCGGATGCGCCAGAGGAAGCTTCTTTGTCCAAAAGTTGCGTGGTTGGGATGGTGTGCCTAGGGAAGGTGATTCAAGCCAGCAAGGTTGAAAACCCATGGGTCTGTGCCTCCTTGCCGTTGGTCCCCGAGATTGTTGCCATAGAGTTCAGATCCCCAGTTCGATGGGAAAAGGGGAAGCAAGTTGTCTGGCATGTCAAAGAAGGAGAGATGCAAGGGAAGCTGAAGGAAGCAACCGCCTCTGGGATTCCTTGTGGCCAACTGCAGAAAATGAGGGACCCGCTGCCAAGCGCCAGAAGCTCACGCAGCCGCCTTGGAAAAGCAAGAAGCGGAAGCGCCGTTCTGACGCTGGGAACACCGGCAGTCCGGCTCAAGTTTCCTTCACAGCATCCAAGCGTCGCCGGCTGCTTCTTCGCAGCCCTTTGCAAAAGCCGAAGTTGGCAAAAGCATCAGCATCAGAAGCCTTGCAGGCCAGCACAAGCCCGCAGAGGGGACCTGACCGTTGCAGTCTTGCCCAACGGGTGGCAGCAGGAAGGACGTTGGAGCTGCTGACAACACTGATGGCAAAGTCACACAGTTGCAGCCCAGAGGAGGTCTCTTTGCTTTCCGGGACGATCAGCCAGTGTTCATTCTGAGTGTACGGACAAGCAGAAAAATTCCTTTGGCTGATGTGGTTCCATTGAAGCAGGCAACTTTTCAAGGACGAACCGTCCTCAAAGCCAAATACACAGAGACCCGCACATGCAGATGGAGTGAGCTCAAAGATGTCGGCTTACATTTCCAGATTGCCAACTGTGCGAATGATCGCCGTAGAGCGAGTGGCTTGGCCTCGATGATTTTTTGTAACATGTTGCCATCCTTTAAAGAGAGACCCGCAACAGATTGTTTTTATGTAGCTTTGCATGCCTAGGCTTGCCGTTCCAGAAGCAACCGGGGGAAACACAAGGAGATCAAGGCAGAGCTTTGCGCGAGAATGCAGCTTTGGCAGCTCGCTGGCAGGCTGGCAATGCAGAGCTAGGTTTGGCCACTTCATGCACAGTTGATCACTCGGTGCGATCCGTTGTGCCAGTGCGTTTGCGGGCGCACCTGGCCGAACGAGCTGCTTCAGGTATTACCCATCACGCGGCCCCACGCGCAGATGAGAGCCGTTCCTTTTGGATTCCGCGACTGAATTAGTTCTGTCTACCTGTGTTCTCGGAGCCGGGCAATGTCAGGACAGTATATCATTGAGTCATTGAATCTATTAATGCAACACAATCACACACAAGCAGCATCAGAGTCACCCTTTTAAAGCCTCTAGCCCTATGTTAATGGCAATGTATGCTTTGAATGCGCTGACACCTGGTTGCAGCTGGATGCTCTGGAATTTGACCCTCCAAGGCGGTCTGGAGATGGCAGCGGCCGGGCAGATGTGCAGCGGATTCGCTTGCTCTACAAACGTGATTTACACGGAGATGATGGGCTCGTTATAGTTTCCTGTGACGAGGAGGATGTCATCTCCCCGCAGCATGCTCCACCAAACGTATGTAGACGCTGGCGTTCAGGTGCATTAGAGCCCATTGCGGGTGTTGAAGTTGACCTTGCATTGCCGCGGGCGCTGGATGAGCAAAATGTTCGTCTCTTGCTTGTCTATACTGGCACCTGTACAGTCAAGTTGATCAAGAACGTCCGCCTGAAAATTTGCCGCCAGACATTCCGCTATGGGCTTGGGAGTTGTTTTCAAAACCAAGATTTCATTGGACTGAGGCTCGGGTTCAAGCGTTGCAAGAATCTTGTTTGCAGACGCTGCAGGCCGCAGACCGCAAATTATCCGTACCTGATTAGCGCCGCCCTGGCTTCGTCCACTGCGACCTGTGGGTCTCAATGGCACGGACGATATTGTGCTCTCAATCGCAAGAAACTTCCAGAAAGCAGTCCTTTTGTACACTAGGCCAAGCAGTTTTTGATCATGTCGCGAGGTTAAAAAAATTCGCTGCGCGCTACAGAAGTGTTGAAACTGAGAGATGTGGAGGGCATGTGAACATTTTCACATTGTTCCGGCTGTCCACGCAGCGCAGCATGCATGAGAGCCAGTTTGGTTGCATGGAGTCGATATCACGCTTGGGACTGCAAAGGCAAATCCGACAAATATGACCATGATACCACGCATTGACAAGTGCTCTCCGGTACCCAAGCCGCGCCATCAAGTTCAAGTTGTAGGAGTTAGTTTGCTAGAGATGGCCACGTGTGAAGTTTGTGGAGATGGTTTCGCAGACGATGCGGAAAAACACTTGTGCTCCCCGAGCCGAGACTCTTGCTCGCACGTGTGCCACGCGGATTGCTTGCAGCAATACCGATTAAAGCAGGGCTGCCCTATGCATGACTGCCCATTCTGTCTTCAGAATGAAGATTCCCAGGAAGAGGCTGATGATGCCGCTTTGCAAGAGATGGAGATTGAGGCAGCAATGGAAGCAGAGGCTGTGGCTGAGGGGGTAAAAAGAAAGACCAGAGAAGAGGCAGCTTCGCCTGTCCGTGCGGGTGGGGGCCCAGCGGGCAAGAAGTTAGCAACCAACGCAAGCCCGCCAGCAGGACAACGCAGCCCAGTGCCGCCCACCCAAAGGTCCCCAAGCCCAGAAAGCCCTCCCTTCACACAGGGTGGAAGTGAAGCAGCCCGCTTGTCCATTCCAAGCTTTGGGATTGACATCTACGACGACCTGGGTCGGACCAGCAAGGCATCTACCACGGTGAAGGATCCTATGCACGACGCCATGTCGGAGTACTTGGCTTGCAGGGATGAAGCACAAAGCCTTTCGTTGCTTCACACCAAGAGCACATATCAAGGGCTTGGAAGCCCAGAGGCTTCTTATCAAACCGTTCTGAATGCAGCCTTGAAAGACCCCAGGGACCACCACGCTGTGGCATCAGACTTTGCCTTCAGAACTCGAGAAGTGCTGCCCGTGCCTTTCAAAGTCAGCTTGAGAACCATTGCCCGCAAGGAAGGTTGTGAGCCTGAGACATTCATGGCGCCGATCCTCAGCAACATTGGTTGGATGGAGCATCCATGCAGGCACGCGGCTTCGATTGCAGCCTGATGAGGAGCACCGACGTGGCTGCGTAGTCCAGATTGTTTGCGCAGGTGACCCCAGCATGCGCAAGAGTTATTTGAAGGATTTTACCTGCAAAAAGCTTCTTTCCCATGCAGATGTCCCTGCTGTCATCAAGGCAGGTGGCGCCACATGCACGGATGCCACCATCAAGGGTCTTCGTGCTTCTATCAAAGAATATGCCCGAGCTGGCATCATTTCGGATGAGATTGCCACAACAATATGCCATGACATCCGGGAGGGAGACCCGACACTCAGGTCTGCATTACGGCAACAAAGAAAAGATGTGCACTTGGCTGAACTGCGAAGATGACAAGACAGTCACTGGAGATGGTGCCACGGCGCTGACTCATTACACCTTCGTTCACCAAGTGTATGGACAGGTGTCGCTTTGTGAGTATGTGCTCCAGCCGACTGCAAGCATGTTTTGCAAGAGAATCCATGCGACGTGGCAAACAAGGCCAGTGACAAGTGACCCTGATCAGCAGAGCCAGTCCAGCAAAGAGTTCCTGATTGACTTCTTTGGTTGGATGGGGCGCGTGGCAAGCAACCAGGACAAAGACCACTATTTTGACAAGTTCGCCTTGCCCGTGCTCAGGAAGGCTTTGCAGGGAATCTCCGACTTCTTCACGAGAATCACGAGAATCACGAGAATGTAGAGGAACCAATCTAACAGAAGCTACGCTATGCTGACACAGATGTGGCTCGGTACGCTAATGCAGCCATGCGTTGCAGGCAGTATTCTGAGGCCCGAGCGCGTTGGCCCTTGATAGGATCATAGATGAGTTTGCCGTTGAGATGACCATCTTCGATTTGGGACATGCCTTGCATATCTGGCGTCGCCAAATGTGCTTGTGGTTTGCCTTCTATCGCTCCAAGCAAGTCCAAGCCTTGGTAGACCCCAAAGCAGTGCCAGATGTCAAGCCCCCAGGACTTGCAGATTTGGATGCCAAGATGAAATTGCAGCGAGTCATTCTGTCCAATCCTCGATGTGTTGGTCCAACCTCCACTGCGCACATTCGCTCTGTTCTGAATTACCACTTTCAGAAGGAGAAAGAGGAAAAACCAGCAAAGTTCGTCTTGGCAGCAGTCAAAGACCTCTTGAAAGTTGGCATCTTGCAAGAGGTTGACAAGAAGGAAGTGGAAGAACAGGCGCCCAAACTTAAGGACAAGAAAAGCGCCAAGAGCAAGGAGGCCACGCTAAAGAGCGAGCCACGAGGCCCGCCAGGTGGCCACGCTGTCCTGTACTACCAGACATGTGCCTGGGAGGGCCTTTTGACTAATTCGGAAGCTCAAGACATGATTGCCAAGCTTCAACTGAGTGCCAATGATTTCAAGTAGGATTCCAGAAATACGAGGTCTTGCACGGTCCCATGTCTAAACTGTCAGCCCAAAAAAAGAGTGACAATGTGCTCCAAAGCACTTGTTGTATATAAGTCTTGTTTCCAAAGATACGCGTCAATAATGGTGCGATTCCTCGAAATTAAGCTCTGGCTTCTTTCCAGCCCGAGCGTGTTCCTGACCCTACGAGGTGAATGCTTTCAATCAAGAGTGTATGGTGGCTGCAACATATTGTGCGTCAATTTCAATCAACCCACCCATTTTCATGACAAGACATTGTGGTGTGAAGATCTTGCATAGTGGTTCATCATGGTGTCCAAAGCCACATTCAAAACAGTCTGCTTGGCCTTCTAGTGTTCAATCGTGTGCGCTGGTGGCATGAGATTGACAAAGGCCCAATCTATTCTTTTTGAGGCAAAGCGGACAGCCAATACCGCGGCTCCAAAATAGTTTGTGCGGCGCATATGAAGCCACTGTTCGCTGAACATAGCCGTTCGAGATGTTGAAGCAATACACATGTTTTATTTGTTCCTGATCAAGTCCAAGAAAGAATTGAAACTTGCACCTGTTTATTCTGTTTTCTACCATTTCTGTTTTCTATACCATCCTTTCCGACTGCGATATAATTTTTCTGCTTCATGGGGAAAGAAGACTCACGGGAGTCCTGTCCACACCGACCATGTCGCTGACTCCTGCGTCTGCAGGTGCCGATGCTAAGTGGCACCATGACAATGGCTTCTACCTTAGGGATTCAGCAGATGCTGATGCCAGCATGCGTGATGTTGGTACGCAATCAAATAGAGATGGCACAATAGTCCACTCCTCATTGTGACCATCGGGTCTGTGGTCCCGCGGGGCACGTGCACTGCGCGTCGGTGCGCATTCCCGGAATGGCTGGAGGTTGCTTCCGGTGATGCTTGATTCTTCATGTCACATTGGTATCATGTAATGTTCAACGCAATTTTTCTAGGACATGTTTAAACATAGTCGATCTTTGTTTGGTCTCATACAAACCTTGTACAAAAGGATCTTGCACAGCAGCGTCTAGAAAGAACCTGTCAAGGAGATCTTGCACACGTCTTCTACAAAGGGAACTTGCAGAATCCAATCTGGTATTGATGCCACGGTGTTTGGAGTCGCCACTTAATCCCCGTCGGCCGCTCCACTCGCCCCACTCGCCCCCCTCGCCCCACGCCCCATTCGCCTCACTCGCCCCACTCGCCCCACTCGCCCCACTCGCCCCCCTCGCCCCACTCGCCCCACTCGCCCCACTCGCCCCACTCGCCCCACTCGCCCAAACATTCCATTCACGTTACCACCTCTATTCCTTTTTCATACTGCTGTGTGGTGAAACCAAAGCAAGCAGGGCAAGCGGGGCAAGCGGGGCAAGCGGGGCAAGCGGGGCAAGCGGGGCAAGCGGGGCAAGCGGGGCAAGCGGGAAGAACCACCGATCTTCCCTCGGCTTGCAAGTAGGGCAAGCGGGGCAAGCGGGGCAAGCGGGGCAAGGAGGAAGATTCACGTATTTTCCCTAGAAGCGGAGCAAGCGGGGCAAGCGGGGCAAGCGGCAGAAATCACTTAGCGGCCCCGCGGGGCACCCACACTGTAAGAAAGTTTCACCACGTGCGCACGTGTTGCCTCCCACGCTAAAAGGAGAGAGAGAGAGAGAGAAAACCAAACCGACCGTCCTAAATCGCAGGAAATTTCAATGCCCCTAGCTTGCAATATTTCCTTGATTCCCCCTTCAGAATCTTCAGATTGAGGCTTACTCATCACCCATCACATCACCTGCTCCTTTCTACAAAGGTGGTTGAGTCCTCATGCTGTTATTCAATCACGTGACTGGGAGAAGTCATCACCAATTCGTCAATGTTAGATGGGGTGCATCCAAAGGTTGCCAAGGTTTGGAACTTTTGCGCTGTTGGGATGCTGTATTTTCTAGGCATAAACTCTTGCCTCCTTCTCTTTCAGCAGTATTTGAACCTGCTGGTTTTGGGTTGCACAGGTGTTTTTCATTCAGAAACATCTTACTGTGGGAAGTCCATGAAAACAAATGTCCCTTTGCTGAGCATTGCGTTGGAGAGCTTTGATGAATGAATGCATTGTAAATACCCTCTGGTAATTAAACGTAGCTATTGAAAATTGCCATTTATAGTGGATTTTCCCATTAAAAATTGTGATTTCCCATAGTTATGTTGGTTTACCAGAGGGTACCCGTCAGATTGCTCATTTTCCCAACCATGACTATCCAGACCTTGATTGCCCAACTTGTCCAGTCAGCTTCCACACTGAGGTTATCAAGACAATACTGTTGAGACCTACAATGAGGTCTTGAAATGGAGGGTTCAAAATTTTGATGTGGGAAGGTTTAGGTGCAATTGAATGTTATGGTGAATTTTTGGATCCATAAATGCCAACCGCCTTTTAAAGAAGAAAACACAATCCAACTAATCGCATACTGTAAATGTCAACTATTGTATGGTTAACGCATCCCTCCAACTAATGGCTTAAATGCCAACCATTTTGTGGGGAAACATCCAGGGTAAACATATGTCTTTGTGCCCCCCACACACCCGCAAACCACACATACGACTAGATATTCCCCTTTAACCCCCCCTTGTTCATCCTGTTTGTCAGAAGGGATACCGAACGACTGCTGCGGCCTTCGGAGGGAATGGTAAGGGTTATTCTTTTTTTCAAGGGAGATTTAAAGACACCACTGGGAAGGAGCGAACCACTCTTTGTTGTGGAAGTTTCCAAGGCATACCGCTAGTGGTGTTGGTTGATTTTACTTTATTTGTTTAATTGATGTTTATTTCAAAGGCAAAGCCTACCCCGCTAACCCCAGCCATCAAAGACGTGGTTGGCGTCCCAACAAACAACAAGCAATGACGCCCACCACAACACCGATGACGATGAGTTCAACAGTGGCAGGAACAGTATTTGAACATGTGTCCTGAAATGGCTGTTTTTGAACCCTTTCCTCATCATTTTAGGACACCTCATGTTTTTGACAGTCTACCCAAAGATACTTAAAGACATATCGCCTTATATGTGGTAGTTGATGGAAAGAAGCAAGAAATGGACGAAGACGTCTTTGACCAAATGGTTGAAGCACTGCACCAATCCAACAACCCCCACAACCCACCAACCCAAGCAACCACACGATGGAAACCTGACGGAAGTTATGACAAGAAACCATTAGACCCAGACTATTTTTCAAAATGCTATCAGAAGAAACTATCAAAACCCTTCCAATAGGTAATCAGTAGTAAATCCAATCTTTCAAAACACCGTCAAACCAAGAGATGTATGAGCAAACAAACCCACTGTTGAAATCCGAAACCTTCTCAATAACAACGATTATGTTTATTGAGAACGTTTTATTCACTATTCATTTTTGTCTGTTTGACACGATTTATGACTTCAGACATCGTGGTTATATAGTCAAAAATATTTTGGAAATCTTCTTGCGTGAATACCTCAAAGAACTCCTCAGATACTATGAACACTACATCAACGAGACAGAAATAGAAGAGCACCTACAAAAAGTTATAAACACTTAAAGAAAAATTACCTATATATATATTAAGAGAAAAATGACAAGCGCTAAAGTCTATGATATGAGTAATGTTTCAGAAAATGTAGGGTTGTATATTGAAGTTGGAAGTGATAGTGAGAATGATTACTGGGAGAGAGAACAGATAGAAAAAGACGATGAAGAGATTAGAGACTTTGTAAAGTGTCATCCGTTGCCTTCAATAGATTATGAGGGCGATAATCCCTTCTGGTTTAAAGCAATTCATAGAATGAAAGATGTTGGAAAAGTAGATGCTATTGCAATCTTTGCTTTAGCGGACTTTGAAACTATAAAAAGAATGTATGAAAACATAACTGACAAAAAGGTTATAATTGAATGTGGAAAGAAACTCAACAGTAAAGGAGAAAGAGACGCTATGATTATAAACTTAACTTTACTGTTATTCGCGATGGTTGAACTGGACAGTGTTGATGTTGAACGGGACAACGCAGATAAACTCATCACAACACAAATGAGAGTGATAGAACACTAGTGGGATGGAATAGGCACGTGGAAAGCATAAGCACGATTAATTCATAATATCTTAACAAAATATATTATGAAGTAATCGCCCACCCAAACACAAACATAAAACCCCAACAGCCTAAACAATTATCCCCCTCATCTGAAACAAACATTGACACATCACTTTAGCAACAAAAATACCACCAAAACTCCACCTGAAAAAACATCAAAGGCGAAGATGAAACATTGAACCCCAACACAAAATCATAACAAGCAACATACAAACATATACGCCCCGAAACCCCCATTTATCCATTTTTTTAATGTGATACGCAACCACTCAGTTTGCTCGTAGTAAGTAAAGCCGCAACGCAACCATGTTGGCCTTTTCCTGGTTATATGGCCTTTTTGCATAGCAGCCTCTCAGTTTGCTCGTAGGACGCAAAGCCGCGATACAACCATGTTGGCCTTTCGGTGCTGATATCCTTATTCTTACCACCAATCAAAGTCTGACATTTAGCGTGTGATACGCAACCACTCAGTTTGGTCGTAGTGAGTTAAGCCGCGAGATCGCTCGCGCAACCCTCTCGTCACTTTGGGCGTGTCGGATGGCTCTCCTTGTGCCGCGGTGCGAGATCGCTCGGGCAACCTTCTCGTCACTTTGGGCCTGTCAGATCACTCTCGTTGTGGCGCGGTGCGAATTTTGAGATTGCTCACACGGCCCTCTCGTCACTTTGGGCCTGCCAGATCGCTCTCGTTGTGGCGCGGCGCGAATTTGAGATCCCTCACGCGACCTTCTCCGCACTTTGGGTGTGTCAGATCGCTCTCGTGTGGCGCAGTGCTCATTTTGATAATCTGATAGTCAATGTGATCTTGTCCAGAGATCTTGGCAAGGATGTTTTTTATATAGAGCTGGCGCAGAGATCTTGCCCCGGAGACCTCTTATAGAGATCTTGCACAGAGAGCTCTTGTAGTGATCTTCTACAGAGATCTTGCCAAGAGGTCTCTCACTACAGAGATCTTGCCAACAGAGCTTTTAGAGACAGCTTGTACAGAGATCTGTTCAAGAGATCTTGCCAGGAGACCTCTTTTGTAGAGATCTTGTACAGAGTCCCGGTGAAGAGAACAGAGATTGTGCCCAGAGATCTTTTCTAGAGAGCTTGGGCAAAGATCTAACTTTGAGATCTCTTACAGAGATCTTCCGTGGAGACCTCTTATGGACACCTTGTGCAGATAGCCTTACAAAGGGATCTTGCACAGCAGCTTCTACAGAGCACCTGTCACTTGCGCACAATCTTCCACGGAGATCTTCACAAAGCGAACTTGCAGAATCTATATA